CCACTACGGCTGCAAGGGCCATTGATTTCTCAAGCTGTGGTTGTGGCAGGGGGGGAAGTTGGGCCGGGGCCGTTGGCAGCTTGGTGCGGGCGGGGGTTGTCACGGAGTATTGGGGGACTCAGGGCCCTGCACCCCCGGCTTCCTGCGATCCACCCTGACTCTCAGCCAGCCCGGAAAGCAGAAGGTTTATTTGGATGACAGGAATACAGGCCAAGACAGGTCTTGCAGGCACAGACAACAGGGACCCCCTCCGTTAGGTCCATCTTGGGGTCCCAGGGCATCCCAGCCCACCCCCTTTGGGAGGTCAGAGCCATCTCTGCCTCCCAGCCATCTCTCCAGCCTGCTTCCAGCACTCTGCCTTCACGCCGACCCCCCCCCCCCACCAGCCTTTGTTCAGTTTCCCGGGCCCCGGAGTCACCTGGCCTTTAACCCCTTCCTGGGTTCTCATGTTACAAGCTCAGGTATGTTCCCTCGGGCAGACTCCCATCCCCCGATGCAGACCATCCTAGTCACACTCCCCTGTCAGCATTCACACACCCCAGCAAGAACAGTCCCAGTTCGTCACAGGGGTGGGGTGCCTGGATCCTAAGGGGGTGACGTCTGTGCCGGGGCTTGTGGGGGGGCCCAGAGAGAACTGGGCAGATGGAGCCAGAGGGCCCTGTCTGGGGTAAGGGAGTCACGTGGGTCACCCTGGCAAAAAGAAGGAGGCCCAGGCCTGGCCTGGCCTGATGAAGAGGGCACTGGCAGGAAGACTGGGAGGCCCTGTGCGCCCTGGAAAGCCAAGACACATGAACAGAGACGAGGGCGCCAGATGCACGGATGCGAGGCCCCAGGATGATCTGACACTTTATTGGTGTTAATCGTGTGGGGTGAGGGCGACTCAGCAAAATCACATGTGTGCAAAAAGAAAGGGCCCTCCACCCTGACAGCTCACCCACCCACCCACACTATGGTGTCCCCTCCTGAGTCTTTGTCAGCCTCTTATCTAGAACCCCACTCCTCCTGAGTGTGTGACAGCCTCCAGTCTAGAACCCCACCCTCAAGTGTGTGACAGCCTCCAATCTAGAACCCCGTCCCTCCTGAGTGTGTGGCAGCCTCCAATCTAGAACCCCACCCCTCCTGAGCATGTGACATCCTCCGATCTAGAACCCCACCCCTCCTGAGTCTTTGTCAGCCTCTTATCTAGAACCCCACCCCTCTGAGAGTGTGACAGCCTCCAATCTAGGACCCCGCCCCTCCTGAGCATGTGACAGCCTCCAATCTAGAACCCCACCCCTCCAAGTGCGTGACAGCCTCCAATCTAGAACCCCACCCCTCCAGAGTGTATCATAGCCCCCAATCTAGAACCCCGCCTCTCCTGAGTGTGTGTCAGCCATGGCTCTAGAACCCTGCCCCCGAGTGTGTGAAGGCCTCCACTCTTTAACCCCACCTACCCTGGCATTAGAAAAGCTTCAGAGAAGGGCAACTAAAATGATTAGGGTTTTGGAACGGGTCCCATATGAGGAGAGATTAAAGAGGCTAGGACTTTTCAGCTTGGAAAAGTGGAGACTAAGATGGGATATGCTAGAGGTATATAAAATCATGAGTGGTGTGGAGAAAGTGAATAAGGAAAAGTTATTTACTTGTTCCCATAATATAAGAACAAGGGGCCACCAAATGAAATTAATGGGCAGCAGGTTTAAAACAAATAAAAGGAAGTTCTTCTTCACACAATGCACAGTCAACCTGTGGAACTCCTTGCCTGAGGAGGTTGTGAAGGCTAGGACTACAACAGGGTTTAAAAGAGAACTAGATACATTCATGGAGGTTAAGTCCATTAATGGCTATTAGCCAGGATGGGTAAGGAATGGTGTCCCTAGCCTCTGTTTGTCAGAGGGTGGAGATGGATGGCAGGAGAGGGATCACTTGATCATTACCTGTTAGGTTCACTCCCTCTGGGGTACCTGGCATTGGCCACTGTTGGTAGACAGGATACTGGGCTGGATGGACCTTTGGTCTGACCCAGTATGGCCATTCTTACGTTCTTATGGCATGTGCACCTGCGTCAGCCTAGAACCTCTGTCCCATCCCTGGGTGAGTGTTGAACTCCAGTCTAGAAGCCCCATCCCTGCGTGTGCTCTAAGGTCCCACCTAGAACCTCTCCCCAGCCCAGGGTGAGCGTGGAGCGAGGATTCCCAACTGGAGCAGCTCCATTGACGTCAGGGCTGATTGGCACCCACTGGGACCTGCCAAATTGACTCCAATGGCTCGGGACCGATTGGCACCCACTGGGACGTGCCCAATGTCCCATTTCATTGCACAGTGCTGCTGGCACAGACCGTGGCAAACCGAACTTGCTGAGCGAGAGATGGGCATGTTCGGCCTTCTGCCCCATTGGCTGGCTGGACAAGGTGGGAGAGGGCCAGACACATGGACAAAGATGTGGGCACTGGACACAAGGACAGAGATGTGAAGCCCCCTGGTTGTGGTGAAGCTTTGTGGCCCTTGCTCACATGGTGGAAAATCAGCAACTTCACTCCATCACCCCCAGCATCGGACAAATCAGGCCCACCCGGATGGGGCCAGCGCTCCAGCCTGCAGTCTGCCCAGCCCTCACCACCTTCCATCCCCCAACCCTGTCTGCCCCAGCCCTCAGCATACCCCATCCCCCATCTGCCTGGTCCTCGCCACACCCCATCTGTCCCGGCCTCATCACCTACCATCCTCATCCATTGTCCAAGACATTCCCTCCCAGACTAAGTAAATCCCCTCGTGTGATGGATGCAGCGATGCTGCCAGAGTCTGCAGAGAGCCTGAGCCAGTCACTGGGAAAGGGGGGAGCTGTGTTTAAGTGGGCACTGTCTGCCAGCCCTGCCCCAGAAGTTAAATCCTGGCAGCTGGGGATTATGCTGGGGATTATGCTGTGGCATCCCCTGTCATCCTGTGGGGGGGTCCCCGCTGCTGTCTCCTCCACCCCTCCTGGCTCAGCCCCATGGAGGTTCCTTTAAAGGCAATACTGAATGAAGCAGCCGAGTGGCGCCTGGTGCCGCCTCCCCTGGGCTGGTCACTGGATAGGAGAAGCGGGCACCGCCCCTCTCCAGAATGGGGGAGGGAGGATGGGTCTATAAAGAGAGGGTCTGGGAGCTGAGAGCCCATCACTGGAGATCTGGCATGAGCCTCTGTCAGTGAGGGACGGTACCCCGAGCTCCTGCCCTATGGAAACCCTGGTGAGTCTCCCCTGCCCCTGCTCCTGCCCCATGGAAAACCTGGTGAGTCCTCCTTACCCCCCACCTCCTGGGCCATGGAGCCCCAGGGGTGATTCCTCTGCCCATCTGCCCCCTGCCTCATGTGGGTCCCCTCTGCCACTCACCTACCCCCCACCCCATCAAGCTCCAGGGGCTAGGGGATGTGGGTTGGTGGCTCTGAGTTAGTGCCCAGGACTTGGGAGTGCTGACGCTGCGGGGTCCTGTGCAGGTGCCGGGACAGATACCAAGGACTGGACTCCTGCTGCTGCCCCTTCTCCTCTGCTTCAGGTCAGAGACCACTGGGAGCATCAACCCGGCCGCGCTCAAAAAAATCGTGGATCATGTTCATAAGTGAATGGCCGGCCTGGTGTGTGTGTGTGTGTTTTGGGGCTGCCCCACTCCTCTGGCCATGAAGGGAGCAGCAGGGACCCCTTGTGTCTGCTGGTATCACAGGGTTACCTAGAGCCACTACCTCAGCACCGGTGATTCTGTGGGTGCAGGGGGGAGATGGAGCCCTGAGCTGGGAGGGGTGATTTTGGAGGTGCAGGGGGAGATGGGGTACAGAACTGGGAGGGGTGATTCTGGGGGTGCAGGGGGGAGATGGGGCACAGAGCTGGGGGGTGATTCTGCAGGTGCAGGGGAGAGATGGGGTTCAGAGCTGGGAGAGGTGATTCTGGGGGTGCAGGAGGGACATTGGGCCCCAAGATGAGAGGGGTGTTTCTGGAGGTGCAGGGGGAGGATGAATGTTTGTGGGCTGTGCAGGTGTTTGCACAGTTCATGCTCATTAACCCCGTGCTCAGTGTGTGATTTCCCCTGGGCTCACACTCCCCTTGCCCCCTCTCCCCCAGGTATCGCCCTGTTACCGCTCCCGCCCCCACGATCAGTACACGGTGACCGTCTCCTTGCCGCAGTCTGTGTGCAAAGGCACCAGCCCGAATGATCTGGAGAGGCACCTGCCCATGGCCAAGCTCCAGGTGATGAAATCCAAGCTGCAGACGGACCTTCTCTATGAGGGGAATCACACTGTTGCCGCCAAACCCGACAAAAATGGCCAATGCTCCCTGCATTCCGAGTGGCTGATGCTTTGCCTGGACTAGAATGGGGTGAGTCCCATCTCCCGCATCCTGGACAAGGCCCGGGGCCAGACCAAGTGCCAGGAGACCCGCGACTTGGAAGAATAGTTTGGTAGCAACCGCTACACCGGGTGGTTTCTGAACAACCAATGTGGCTGGAACCGCTGCTTTGTCTTCTTCACCTATTTTGCCCCCTGCCTGTGCACCTTCCTCAGCTTGAAGGACGACCACTGCATCCAGCAACTCATGGATGGGATCTTCGGCGCCATAGATGAAGACCGCTGCACCTTGGCCTTCAAGGAGGTTTTCGGTCAGGACAGAAATCAGGGGAAGCAGCTTGTATGGAACTCATGGCAAACGCTCTGTAATGTGCCCATGTACCAGCGCGATGACCAGGGCTGCCAGACCTGCGAGGAGAAGGACGTCAACAAGAACTCCTGCCAAACAGCAGTGAAAAACCCAGCCACGCCAGCCCCGAAAGCAGCCCATGGGGGCGGACGCCAAGGTGAGAGGAGATTGTAAGCTGCGATGCAATCAATCAACAACCAATCCATCCATCCATCAACCCATCCGTCCATCTGTCCTTCAACCCATCCAGCCATTGTCCTTCAACCCATCCATCTATCCATGAACCCATCCGTCTGTCAACCCATCTATCCATCCACCGATCTGTCCATCAACCCATCCATCCATCCATGAACCCATCCGTCTATCTATCTGTCAACCCATCCATCCATCAACCCACTCATTCATCAGCCCATCCATCTCTCAGCCTATCTGTCCATGCCTCTCACATATGTCTCCTTCTATTTCGCTCTCTCATTTCAAGGTGCCCATCCCCCAGGTCTCTGGGCACTGGGATTGCCCTGTGATCTCCCCTCCCTCTCTCTCTGTATCTCATTTCCAGGGTGCCCACACCCCTGGGATCTGGGCCCTGGGTTTCCCCTGCAGCTTTGCCCCCCTTCATAGTCCAGCAGACGCACTCCCTCCTTCAGTCGTGGAGTAGGGGGTGGCATTCCGGTCTGGAGCATGGCGTGCAGGATGGGAGCATGGGGTGTGGGGGTGGGGGTGGTTGTACCAGGGCAGATGCCAGGGCCCATGCTGGGAGTCAGGTTTGGCTAACTCTGTGCCTGACAAACCCAGTTTTGGTCATTCTCTGCCCTGTGATCTACACCAATAAAGCTTCATAGCAGCCCTGGGTCTCACGCCTCTGTGTATCTGTCTCCTTTGTCCCCAGAGGTGCCGGCTCCCCTGGGATCACCCCTCTGCAGGCAGTGTCACCCCCCCACCCCTCCGCAGATTGCGGTCCCTCATGCTCCCTACGCCTTGATAGAGTGTCACTTCTCCAGTGACACCTCACATGACATACTCAGTACAAGATTTGCTGCAATTGTATAGCAGTGGTAATATCAATGAATAAATGGTCATATTCAATCCTACAGCATCCCAGGTGCCTTTTACATTCCTGCGCTGTGGTAGCTACCACTCCCGGTCTGCTCACACCCAGCCTCCAGCAGGTAAGTCACTCCCAGTTATATTGTGTGAGTGCTGCCAGCCACTCCTGGATTACACTGCAGAGCGACACCAGCACACTCCCAGCCCCAGACTTTCCCCAGAAATGTGTGTCTTGTACTGCCTACCTCTCTTCTGGACAACACAAGCTTGTATAAAGTCTGTCATTCACACCCGACACGCTACTCTAACAATCTTTGTAAAAGTTTGGCTTGTAAGGACTCCTTTGAAAATTCATAAGTTGTCGGTCATTACTGTCCTGGTAAAATATGTGTGGCAACATGGTATGTGAAGTTAGACCTGTATGGTGTTATTAACACATGTTCCAAACCCCAGAATCCCAGGCAGACAGTCGGCAAACAAGTCTGTCCTAAGCAATGGAATGTATGTGCTGCTTAATTTGCACTTAAGCAGTAAACAGAATCATCAAGCAAGAAGGGAAGACAAAGTCAGGTCAAACAGGTGGGGAAAAAAACACCAGGAAACATCCTTCCACACAGATTTTTCATCTCCTAGTGCGCAGCTGCAAATGTTTTTCACGAGGGGAACAGAAACTATAAAAAGGAGGGAGAAACACCCCAAGGCACCCAGCTCTGTCTCCCTGCCCATTACATTCACGGCACCGGAAGCAACAAAGGAAGCATTCGTTGGACTTTGGGAGAGGGATCCTGACAGGGGTTTGGGTCAGTAAGACTGCCGAACGCATGCGGGGAGAAACTTTGCTTGAACCGGATATAGTTTGTTATGTTAGGGATTAGTAAATGTCTTATCTTAAGTTTTCTTGTATCCATGTCTGACTTGTACATCTCTCTCTTCGTAGTTAATAAACTTGTTGTATTGTTTTAGCTGATCCGGTGTGTTTAAACTGAAGTGTTTGGGAAACTCCATTTGGGGTGACGAGTTGTTTGCATGTTATTCTCTGAAAGGAACAATGGACTGAATGTAACTTGTGCTGTCCAGGAGAGGGCTGGGCAGCACAGGACACAGCTTTCTGAGGGAAATATGGGACTGGGGGTGTGTCGGGGTCACCCTGCGGTATAACCAGGGCTGGTGAGAGCC